TCAAGGTAGTCGTCAATGGTTTTCTGGGGGCGGAAGGTGGCAGTGAGGAGGGTGGCCCATTGGAGGAAGGTGGGGTGTGGTCCTCCGGAGGCTCGGCGGTTGCTAGCTTCAGCCATCCACCATTTGGCTGCATTGTCGAGGAGGCGGGAGGKGGCAATGGGGAGCCAGTGGGCAAGGGGCATGTGGTGGAGCTGAAAAGAGTTCTGAAGCTGGGTTAGGAAGAGGAAAACGTCCTCGTGGGGGAGGCCGGAGAAGGACATGATTTCGCCATAGCGGAAGGAACGGGGGATTTCCCCGTCGCGGTGAACGATCTGCGCGAGGGTGTTAAAGCTGAGGTTATCGGCGGTGGTGTCATAGCAGGTGTGGTCGATTTGGTTGTTGTCCTCAAGGAGGTAGTTGGGGGGAAGTTGTGGCATTGCGGGGAAGGCCCCAGAGGTGACTTGGGAATAGGTGGGACGGATGGTGGGGATGGTGGAGGTGGTCATGATGGGTTGGGAGAGGGTTTGGGAGTGCGGAGGGGGAAGAGGGGTGACTTTGATGGGCGAGGAATGAGGCGGTGTGCTGGATGCGCCGGATGAGGGAGGAGGTGGAGGGAACGGAATGATGGTGGGGATTGAGGGGTTGGTGGATATGGCGGTAGAGGTGGTAGGAGTGGAGGAGGTCGGCGGGGGGGTGTTGCTAGAGGCCGCTGTGGAGGAGGGAGTGGTTTGCGCAGTGGAGGTTGGAGTGGTTTGCATTATGGGGGTTGGAGTGGTTTGTGCGGCGGTGACGACCGTGATGGAGGGGGTGGTCCCTTCGAGCGTGGTGACGCGGTCGCATATGGACGACATGTTGGACTTTATGTCGTCGAGAGAGGCGGTGACGGAGGTTCGCAGGGTGTTTAGTGCGTGGAGGATGGCGGAGAGGTCGAGGGTGGCGGTGTTTGTTGGTGGTTGTTCGCCTGCGAGGTTGCGAGCGATGCTATCAACTTAGTCGGTGCGGATGTCAGACATGTTGATGGAGGATGCGGCCATGTCAGGGGAAGAGGGGGTGGAGGACGTGGCCTGAACGGGTGTGGAAGATGCCGCGGCAGCGGTGGTGGCGGCGGCAGCACGTTGGGAGTTCTTAGTTTGGCGTGGTGGCATGTGGAGGGTGGGGGGAGAATCCCTTATTTATTTATTAATAAATTCAAAAATAAAGATAATCCGCAAATTCAAAAATAAACCCTGAACAGAAAGAGTTAATTAATTTCGAAAAAATAAATTCTCATTTAGATAAATTTATTTACAAAAAAACGTGAAATTTCGAAAGAAAATATTTTCGAATTACTGGGGGAAAATGAAGAAATAAATAAAATTCTGAAAAAAAAAAAATTAGGAAGAGGAAAATTTTAAAATATTTGGCAAGAATTTTTCAAAAAGGAAAATGTCGACATTTCAAAAAAATGATAGTTAATTTCGAATAAAGAGATTAATTCAGTCGTGAATTAATTGAATTTAGTCGAAATTAATTGAGAGGTTTAGAATAACATTTTTAAGAGAAAATTACTTCCGAATTGTAAAAAGAGTTTTGAATTTCAACAAAAATTGCGAAAAGAAATTGCGAATTAAAATACTGGAAAAAATAATTAATTAGAATTATTTTTGAATTTCCAAAAGAAATATCGAAAAACAATATAATTAATTCTAACGTATTTTTAAAATTTTTGAAAAAAAAAAAAAAAAAAAAAATTAAAAAAATAAGTAGAAATGTTTTGAAAAAGAAATGTTGAAAAAGAAATGTGAAAAAAGAAATATCGAAAAAGAGTTAGATTAATTCTAAAATATTTTCGAATTACAAAATATCGAAAAAGAACGAATTAAATTTGTTTTCAAATTTCGAAGAA